TATATATATATATATATGTAGGACAGGCTTTTGTATGTTCATATTCGTGGTTGCCTATTGCCAGACCTATTAATAAATAGGAGAAAAATCACTGTGGGGACATCTTACCCTCACTACTATAGCGTATAAAAAATCTAACCTTTTCCCAACCAAAACGTAGTATACTGAAAAATACAGGGGATATAAATGAAGCATCACTCTACTGGTTTTATATCCGCATTTGAGTGGGTCCCGCCACATCCCTCTCTACTTGCGAGTTGATCATACTGCTACTCAGCCACTCCTAACCAAACGGTTTAGTCTACAGGGGCCATACGGGAAGTTGTGTGTCCTAACCCCTCTTGAGTTTCATGAGATAGGCACTGCAGATGGTTCACAATAAGAACGAAACAGTTTTACAGTGCTTTGCATGCTTTACATACAAGACAAAACCTCTACTAGGGTCATGTATGGAGGGAAGATCACGGAAGAAATCGCAGCTTGAAAGCCTCCTTGTTTAGCTATGGTGTACCAGGCTTATGATTATTTGTAAGCGTGGATTGTGTTAGGCTGGAGAATTCGTCGATTAAATCAATCACCGAGGCTGTCAACTGCACCGTCAGAAAACAGTTTTACCAAAATTATTGGATCGGTGTTTCCAGATATAGAATTTACACTGCTCCTTCTTTTCAGCCAACTTTCTGGATGAGGGCATAGAAAATCAACGTGAGAGCATCAAGTCACCAGCGGGAGTGCTTATATACGGACAATACCTCTTCCAGTGAATTCACACTTGCAATTAATTTTCCAAGCACAATGTTTTGTAAACGCTGAAAGTGTACAGGTGTGTGCGACCAGTCCGTAATTATCTGGGACCTTTTTGTAATGCACTACTCATAAGGTCACTGAAAACTCCTCGACAGCCCACGACCAGTTTTGTCTCTCTTAGGGTTCATCAGGTAGGCGCAGTCCTCGAGTTTCCGTCAACATGTCCTACTTGAAATCAAATTGCACGAAATTAGCGTTATACACCCATTTGCAAACAAATTCGCTTTTGCGAGAGACTCACCTGGAACCTGGCTGAATCTCTAGTTTGTGGTATTTCCAGGCAACTGAATGTGCTGCACCATGCCGCATCATATTTTAGTTAGTACAATATTCGAGATATCGCGATACATGTATTTGCGAAACGCACTACGCATAAGGTTGCTGAAAATTCTTCTAAAGTCCACGTGTATACATGTATCACGAATTCTCGGATATCGTACTAACTGAAACATGAGGGGCTTGGTGGAGTACATCCAGTTGCCTGGAGACATCGAAACCGAAGGATTCAGTTGGGTTTCAGGTGAGTCTCTCGCAAAACTAACTTTGTTTGCAAGTAGTGTATTTCACTATCGCTGTTATTTTGTCCTTATTCAAGTACCACACTTCCTTAATCCACTGGTGTAGTGTGCGTAGGACCAGTGCCAGTACGTAGGACCGCTTTTTTTACGTTCCAAGAAATAATAGTGAGGACGGAAACCTGGTAGCCCCCCAGAATAATATTCAGTTCCCCGGCTAAAAAGTGAGTTACGGTAATCTTTCCTTAGTCGGTATCCATCCTGTATGTTCCACCTGTCCTGAGCAACAATTTGGTCATTTTTTGGCTGAGAGAAGTTTTGAAATGGAGACGAAACTTGGTAACTTGCAGACTATGATGATAAAAGAGTTACGTGGCTTGATGATTTACTCAGCGAAGATAAGGCTAGCGTACTTAGGTATCCCGAGGTATATCTTAGGATTTCAAAATCTTGGACGTCAAAAAACTGCTAAAAAACAGTTGCTCACGAAATGCAGATTACAGACAAGTGCAAATATACTGATGGGACCTACTCCCAGTTTCACCTCCATGCAACTTTGTCTATACTGCAGCAACAGTAGTGAGAGATTCAAAGATTCCACTGACCGCGTTTTCGGAAAATTACAGGGCATATTTCTGATTTTATTTGTCGAATAATATACATAGATTCATCGTGTTATCTGTGGAATCCAGTCAGATTTTTATATTTACCACCGTAACTATTGATTGTCTTGTCCGGTGGTTTGGCAAATAGAAAACTGGCAAACGGTCATGTTTGCCAAGAAGACGAGCAATGCAAGGAAATAGCGACTTTCTAACATGTGAGATGGAATTGATTGATATGTGATTTTTTACTGCTTGGTGATCAGGGGCAAAAGTTTCAAATTCAAGGCTTATTTCAACTTCACTAGAATGACCAGGTAGGGCTGGGTGAACTGATTGTAATGAATATGATGGGCGAAACGTCCATTAATTCAATCAGGTGATGCAAACAAAGTAGTCTTTCGGAGAGAATTTAACGAAGCACGTTTAATGCACTTCTGTATGGCAATCAGACCGAACCGTGGCTTCTATCTCGTTACTACCGAACACGCTGATGATTGATTGAATGAGAGTAAAAGCTGGCATGATTTTGCCAACGAAACTGAGATCGAAATATCCCTGAAAACCTACATAATTCTCATTATACTAAAATGTACTGGCGAGAAAAATCACCCGCTTTACACAGATTTAACTACCTGGAAGGTGATCAACTACCATCTGTTATTGTGCAAAACGCTTCAGATTCTTGCAGGACAAAACACATCAGATAAACTCTGGCCTGGATTTTTTGGTGAAATACGTGCTAGTAAAACTATCGCAAAACATCCCAATGTTTTCGAAGAGAATATCAACGCTTACGGGATTGTGTAGCTTCCAATGCCTCTGTGATATTGCAAATAAAGATCAAATTTTCTGACGTGAATTATTATAATTTTAATTATGACTTTATCATGAACGCGGATCTCACTAGATTAGGTGCAGTAAAAACCGACTGTCTACAAAGTGTGAATTGTCCCTAGCACAGTAGTTTGATTTTAACGAGAGTTTAGCTGAATCACAACTGAAAATATCCTTGAATTTGTTCCACAAAAACCGCCTCAGGTTCAAATTGGTACGATATGCAAAATATTGCGGGTGAAATCGGTCAAAGAGTTTTAAGTAAGGTTGTAAGTAGTTTCATTCACGAAAATATAGTCGAGATTAGCGTGGAATGTAACTGAGCTTATAAGACTACTTAACCTCTCATCTCACGCACAAGTGACGAATACTAGAAATGGCAAAAGTCATATGTGATGGATATTCAAGGACAAGGCCGTACCAATCTTTCATGCAGTAAACGTTCAAGCTCACGGCTGATGACAAACAATTTGGTATGTTAAGTTTCAGACAGTTGTTTTCGGCTGGCTACTTTGGAAATCAAATGTTTCATTGTTGAGAAGAAGAATAGACGCTCTTTGCGAAAACTAGACTGATTCAGTGCTCCTCAAAAACAAGCAGAAGTCTAACAAAATAGACCAAACAATCGCAAAACAAAATGTTTGTTTATGTGAGCCGTGAGGTTAAATATTTCGTGCCGTTCAGATGACAAGGGGGATTCATACAACTAAATTCATTCAACGGCAGCCAGTCTGACTCGCCCGTTTTCTATTAGTGTGCCTGAAAACGAAGACATTTGATGCACGTGTCATTTCTTCACATGTTTACTCACAGGATCATATATTCATGTTTGCTAAATCAAGACGAAGGGAAGTCTACTTCCGGCCACAAACTGCTTTCCAGCTTGAGCAGAGATAACAAAGATTTTATGGGCACAATCACAATGTGCTGAGGTGAAAAGCGTACACATTATACTGATAGCTGATCATCTAGGTTCTCATTTTTATTGGAATACACATGTAGGACCATCCGGGAGAATGAGGGATCTGTTGCTTCAGTCAGGTCTGTCGGATTGTTTTTCCTAACGATAAGGTTATAGTCAGGTTTGCACTCTTTGCAACTATAAGCTACCCGGCGTAGTCCGATAATTTTTGGTGATATTTCCCAGTTTCCCACCAGTGCATTTTGTTTCTGATCAGAAATCAGGCAGCCGGTGTGCATTTTCCCAAGAATGCTTTGCTTACCCAAGTAGGAGTGCCAATTAAGCTGGACGGTGTACGTGTAATCCCAGCACAATAATGTCTCCGAGGTTAAGAAAAGTATTTACAGTCTAGTAATCCCAAACCATGTACACCCAAGTCGTGAGGTTGATTTCGTTACAGCCCACAGTATTGCCGATAATGACCCCTACTAGAAAAGATTCCCGACTCAAGGCCGTTATTCAGGAAAGTCTACAGCAAGCAATTTCGGCCAGACAGCCACAAGACTTGCTGTTCTCGGAGGAACTTATCTAGAGCCAAATATTTTGTTCTCAGGAAGAAATGTCACTCCTTCTAGAATAGCCACCAGTGATACGATGTTCAGTACAGCGCTCCAGGAGCACGTTTGATGAGCCGTACGGCCATTGTAGGAAAAGTGGGTCTGATGCGTATAGCACTAAACGGATGACTTTTCAGTTGTCCAAAACCAGGTTAGACTAGCTGAACAAATTCAAGATCGGAATGCCATGTTTATGACGTCCTGTATGTGACAACATCCGGAATGAGCTCATTCTTCACATCACTCCCTGAAGTCTCTGGTTCATGCTGTGTTTGTCTTTCCTTTACTGGTGTTAATATGCAAAGCCTCGTACTCTAGTGGGGACAGAACCATCTTTGATAACAACAAACCAGAGCTAAATTTATGGAAGAACAGAAGCTTGGTTCAACCAGCTATACATCCTTGGGATAGATAATCGGAAGCGATATAAAGATATCTGGGCTTCATTTCAGAGTAAAGCATCAATAAAGAACCTTTATCATTTGCCAAATCCAGACAACGGGATTCCAGCAAGCAAAAGAAAAACTTATCTAGTTAGCTAGCAAGTAGCGACTTCGTCAGCAATGTGTCATGTTTTGTGAGGTTTTGAGCTAATTGAAAGAAGACTCACCTTGACCCGAAAAAAATAATCACGTCTTAGAGGACTCACTAGATGACTTCATCCTGCGCTGCTGAGCGATCGCTTTGAATGAGGTGCTTTTGTATGCGGTGGTCAGGCAGACGTATTGATAACCAGCGCAAAATGACAAACTTTATTCGCTGCTTCAACGGTTTTGCCTGACCACAAATTACCAGCATGTGTACCAATCTGTTTCAAAATAGTGTCCGTTTGATCTTGTCGCGCTAAGGTGAGTTCTCGAGGCCTCATAACGGCAGCAAAGCATCATTTTGAGCACTGGTAGTGTGTTTTGAATGACGACGATGCTATTAAGGCATTGAGGATTAAGTTTTTTAACACACATTGGAAGTAAACACTTGGTTCGGAGTATACTCCAGATATAACCAAAGTTCAATTCGGAACCAGTTACTGCAGAACTTCTTAAAGGTTCTACTAAAAAAATTCCAACCTGAAATACTGAGGCCTAAAAAGGAGACTGAGCGTCGAGTGCCAAGGAGTTTATCAGTGACTTTCGCATTTTCAGGCAAGATGTCGGAAAATCTTGCTTCAATCTGAATTCGGTTTCCGATAAGGATATCGCTCGTAGTAAGACGGGGTTGTACATGAATCATAGTTACGCTGAGGGTGCTGTATAAGATAGGATTGAAACAGGGAAGAAACCACAAATGACCTATTCGAAGCCACCAAAATCTAGAATACTGCTCAGTCATAGGCTGGGGAAACATAATTAGAAAAAATGATTTCGGTGAAATCTGAAACTTTTAAGATTACTCAAAGCACCAACGTTTGGTGCTCATGAACAGCCCACTGCCAGGAGAGTTGAAATATCCCTTTATGCATACTGGCCACCCTTCGACAGGGTTATTTTGCTGGACTGATTTGAAGCTGATACAGTGCACCGAAATTGAAGTGCTCAAAACCACGCTTCGCGTTTTTCGCTAACTTGGAAGGCTGTTTAGGATTGCGGTGGATGTTTCATCTGACAGGATCAGTCTATGTTTTAAAGCATAAAAGTTCCGTCCAGCTGCTTCGTCCGTATTGAGCAGTATCAGCGGCGTTAATCTTAAAATGATCCATTACGATTTGAACTAGAGACTTCAGGAAATTAGTTCACCTCTAGTTCTCTAATGGATGGGGCATGTGAATTAGGGAGTTCTCGTGAAGTCAGTCGGCATCTGGACTAATGCTGTTATTCGCTATTCACATAAGAGTTAATCGCTGCAGGTAATTCACTATTAGGGGACTAATATGGTGTATTACAACTAGTCGAAAGACCACACTCTTTATTTTGGGGACGCAGCCGGTTTACGAACAGCTGTGATAGGCAGATTAACCGAAAAGGACGGGACATTCCTAAATGATCTATCTCATGCCGAGTACACAAGAAGAAACTAGGTGTTTTCATTATCACATGTCCGGTGGAAAATCGGGGAATTCTGCCATCCGTCCGCTATTCGTGAGGCTCATTAGCGGGTGGTCGCTTCCAGACATTAACGCTGATTAAGGTCTTATTGATGTTTCGGGCGTATGCTACTGCGTTTGAGTTAGTAGTATAAATTTAAACATGCTTGTGAGCTCTAATACGGAATGCTGGTGTGAGTGGCCATTAATTGCTCCCCCTAGATCAAAGACAGCTATGGTATTCTGCATGGAAAAGATGTAGCCTTCCTTTCCACCTTTTATACTCCTAAGATGGTGTTGGCGAGTTGTTTTACAGGTCTACCTCTCCCGCTTTCTCAAGGCACAATAAGGAAGGCCATTTTTGCGCAAGCTGCCACTCCAACCCCCCCCCCAAAGAAAAGACTACCCAATATATCTGTGTTATAATGTTGATACATGTCATTATGTTCTATTTCCGGTGATGTTACTCTCAGTTCTGTTGGAATTATCCACATTTAAAGTAATACAGTACAACAACATATAAGGGTTGGAAAACTAGCAGCCCAATAGACGGTTTGGTCTCGTTTGAATGGCACAAGGTATCCGTTGATTTTAGCTGACCCATTTTCGAAGGTGAACTGGATGGAAACAGCGATTTCGGGTTTTAGTACAAAATTTGCGTGAGTTGTTGACCTCATTTAGTATATTTCTCGTTTCTTGGATGCCCGCATTCTGTAGTTAAGTTTGTAACGCATTGCAAATAAGATAATATCACGTCTGTATAAAAATATGACCCTATTGTTGTAGCAAGCAAGAAGTCTCACCTAATACTAGTGGGAATTCACACTATAAATCAGTGAGTTTCAGCATCTCGAGTTCGGCAAGTGGATCGTGAACTTACATATTCTCTCCGGTTTACTTGGAAATGATCTAACTGCTTTCTTTTCATCATCAAAGACGTAAGAATCCACTATGTGTGTGGTGTATCCGTCAAAATCCTGCATCAAAGCGACAGACAAGGCCGAACACGGGTGGCCCATTTGGCTGCAGTGTCAGCCATAAGTACTGGGCTGGGCGCTCCTCCTGGTCTCTTTAAACATTATGACATCGATGTTTTCTGAAACGCTGGAAGTCTATTGACTTCTAGACTTGTTACTCTCAATAAAGCACAAGTTTGGATGATATCGGTTCCCCAGCCATGTCAAGACAGCATAGGTTAAACAAAGGTGCTTGGTGGGATATTCTCATGGGTTTCATGCATTTTATAATGGAAAAATACCGCTCTGTTATCAATGTGATGTCCATTTAACGACTACGGTAAAAGGATTTGAATTCCGCCAACGACATAAGAGCATATCGTCACGAGTAAACAAGTGGGGTAAGGCATGATAGAGATTCGTATTTTGAAAAAAAAATTGAAAAGACCTGTCTGCATTACATTACAACACAAGTACTCTTATCTCCCATCGAGTCTGGTAAAATTGGACCGGAAAGTGCTCCACACAGTCGAGACATTTCGCTGACGGTGAACACTTCTGAATCCCCACAGTCATCTAAATACTTCTGTTCTCCAACTTCTCTATCCCATGTGCGTGATCTGACAAATACATTGTCTTCTACTTTATCTTCCGACATAGACTCATGAAGTGTACGTGTCTTCAAAGGGTTCGACAACTTTCGAAGCCGGTTGATCTCACGTAAGTTTGACTCAACATTATTCGGATCACTTATGAAGAAGCTTAGCAGGTAGCCTTCCTCAGAACCTACAAAAATCAGGTTATTTGTAGTTCCAGCGAGTGTAGTTGTAGCAATAAGATGGTGCACGTCAACCGTAGCCACGACTTCAAATGGGGTTAGTTTTAGCAGGTACATAAGGGAGGCAACGGAGAAAACGCAGAGTAGATCATTGCAGACAAATCCGCGAAAATGTAAGGCCTGTTTGTTTTGAATTTTGGAATTTATCGAAAGTATCTCAGCATCTTGGGTCAGTCGCACTACGGAGTGATCAGTGCTGGCAGGAAATCGATAAATACTACACTGAGCCTCTTCATATAGTGCGTTGCCAGTTGGTGACAAGTAGAACGCAGTAACAGGGGATTCTAGAGAGAGTTCTGTAATCATTCTCAATATGATGATCTGATCACTTGTGGGTGAAAACTGCACCAAACTAAGGAACCTGTTCACACAGACAGCATTTTCACAATCCATCGAGAATGGAGCGACATCAGTGCACATCAGTAATAAGACATCTGATCCAAATTGTACAGGAGCACATGACAAAATATTGTTTACTGACAAGGGATCAAATGACTGAACTGTCATCATCTCTGGCGTGATATACCAAACGTATGAATCTGTTTCACACAGACTGGTGATTGCCACAACACATGTCGACTGTTCATTTGAGTGTTCCCTCTTTTGGCAAACCAGTGCAATCAGATACTGATCGTCTGACGTGATAAATGGCTTCGAGTGTTGACAGATTTCTGGGATCAAGACACTTTCAACTGGTCTGATGCAGACGTAAGTTTGGCAGTCAGAAGACGTTTGTATGCACAAACGCAGTAGGTTGTAGGAATTTTTATCCGATACCATCGTAAAAGTTTCCAGTTCATCAGACGGAATTAGTTGGAAAAATGTGCAAGGCTGTCTATGTGGAGCCAGGTGATATCCGGAAACCTCTCCATACTGTAGCAGTAGGTGACGAGTTTCTAAAGACCACACCAGGTTGACTAAAGCTGTCTTCGAATCAGTCTCATGGTCCAGTCCCACAAAGGCATACTGACCACAGGCACTTATCAGAACAGAACTAACCACATGGTCGTGAGTGTATAAATCTAGCAACTGACCCGTTACCGGACTGAAAACGCCAACTTCATCGCTTTGTAAGCAGCGAACAAGAATGCGGTCAAACTTGGAAGAAACTACTATCTCCTTCGGGGGACAGGTCAGACAGTCCATTTTATTTGCATTCCCGCTATAGGTTCCGTAGACATTTTGCATTAGTGAAGACTGTGCTAAAGCAAGTGGTAGGTCCCACACATAGAGTTCATGTTTCAAGGCACCGTAGCCAATCAACTGCCTCCCGGAATCGATCACCAGTAGGTCAGTGACAACGGTTATTGGAGCGTTCAACATTGCCAAAGGTGTATCGGATCGAATGTCCCAAAGAATGACATGACGGAACACGGCGGCGACCACAATCTGATCACCCAGAGCAAATGCTGCCGCGGTAAAACGGAGTTCTCGCTGTTCGGAATTCGGTAAACGAAACTGTTGAGGGATTCCTTTAGGTCGGTTAACACGACAGACTAGAGTTTCGGCCTCGTAATCGTAGATCAAGATACACTTCTCATTTCGGATCAAAACAAGTGGCAAACAGTCGGACGGTTTGATATCTTGAATGAGCTCACTGTCAAGGACATTCTGAAATGATATCTTTTGGGATTTATGAAGTCTTCCCGTAGGCTCCAACTGCATCCGAACTATGGTTGATACTTTATCACACAAAATGAACATGACGGATGAAACCGGGGACAAAAGGCACCTCTTTGGGACAGCTCCCAGATCAATGGAGAATAATTGTTCACCAGATACTGTGCGAAGACAAAGCACTTGTTCACCCGAATTGACGAGGAACACTGGGTCTTCGGTTTCTTCTTCCTCTTTCTCCGAAGATGAAGTCCCATAAGCTGAAAGCATGGATGCTGGCACAAGTTTGACAAAGTCGGCTTTTGGAAAAGCACCCAATATTTTAACAGGTTTTCCGGTTGCGAGTTCAAAGATTGCGATATGGTTAATTGTTTTGTTTTCTAATATTTCTTTGATTTCTACAAAATCAGGGATCCTCCCCGGTTCCCCTGATTCCGGATCGGTCACCTCAAATTGGAATAATATATCCTTGGTTTTGCAGAGAAACGCAACGTGTGTATTTGTGATATCAACATCTAAAACATTCACATGGAGAGGTTTGGAATCAAGATTACCCGTCAGTCCGGCAGCAATCCAAAACTCTATGTTGATTTGACCTAGAAGTGGCATTTCCCTGTTAGTATCAACATCCAGTTGAAAAACGTTTACACAACCCCCAATGTTTTCATCGACGATAACACCAAATTGTCCGTTTGGACTAGAAAGTAGCTTTCCAGGGCTTGTTTCACAGTCGGTCAGTCGACTATGCGTCCTGAAATCATATCTGTAGACTTTTGAATCGTTGCACAGTTTCATAAAAATCTGACTTCCCCTGTGTACGAACATGCTACTCAAAGGTGTGGAACAGGTCACTTGTTTCAATAGTGGGTTAGTCGGGACCAGTGGAAAGGAATGGATTGGGACCAAGATACTGTGAAGCCCAGCGGCTCGTTCACAATCCCGGAGTAGTTGAGCCGTCCAAATTCCCATTTGTTCTTGGGAAGCGCTTCTTGATACCCGCGCAAACGGTAATAGTTGCCCGATTAATTCCGTGGGAAGCATTTCTGGGTGAGCGTCCAATGTGTAACGCGAGCGCATCAAAGCATTGGTCAACAGTTCAGTTTCCAGTCGCAAGTGGATTAACATAGGAGAGGAAATGCCGGTTTCAACGGAGGACAAACTAGCACGTTGTTCAAATGTATCCAAGCAATGGAGTACGAAGTCGATTCCTAAAGCAAACAGGGCGCCATGTAGCCAACTGAAATTGAAGAGTATCCGTGTACCAATCAACATGAAACGGCTGATATGGAGTAATGCCAAAAACGAATGTCTTATGTGACGTGTATTAAACTCCAGACCTTGATAGTCAGGAAACTTATTCATTTCCGCATAAACATAGCATACGCCTTGTTTTGCAACGGTGATTGCCCTGATTGGATTGCCATCTAGGTGAAACAGTTCTCTGTGCATCCCGTTCCAAGAACCACTGAAATAATCGTTCATTGTTTCTGCTGCCAACTGTGTGGAATATTCAGTCGTAAGTGCATCCAGCTTTTGTGTGAAGTAACCATCAGTGGCACAAACGCCTTGATCACCAAATAACGTGACTGAGCGATTGATCTCCGAACGAATGAGAAACCAAACCGCCGGGTCGAAAAAGACGATATTACCCTCTGGCCTATGGACTTTCTGGAATTCCGCCCCCATAACTCGCTCATTCAAGGTCAGTAGATCTTCCATTTCTTCATTCGTGAGACCAAGGCGTTCCCAGCTCGCCGAAGTGCTCAGATGTAAAAAACTAAAACACTCTTCTATGGTTTCTTTACCAAACCAGATGCCATATTTGTCCATAAAGGTAGTTTGCCGAGGTAGCCTTACCCATTCCAGTATACTTTCACAGTAGAGTGTATCACAGGATCTAATTTTTGAAAGAAGCCGCATTCCGATCTCAGTAGCGGTGTATAGAACTATCGGAACTTCTTCCAAGCTACGCAAAGCATCATGAACTGTTATCATTTGAAGATCTGTCAGACGACGATTCTGCTTATTTAGAGCGACCATACACGCGGAAAACGAGTGACATATTGAAGTCACCTTCTTCATCGATATGTGCAGGCACGTGGACGGTAGGAAATTCTCACTGATATTTAGTCTACTTGCGAGAACCAGTTTGATTCCTGAACCCAACTGAGAAGGAAACTGGTTTGGAGCCAGGAGCAGAGGTGCACGTATTGCATTAAATTGCGTATGGTAAGTTTCAGATATGTGTTCGATGCCAGCTAGCACAAGGAAGATGGATTTTTCACCGTTGTGAACAGGAAGAACCGAACCAATGGAGGTTATCCATGAAGAGAAACTCGATTTGTCAAAGTGTCCTTCGTTCACCCCCAAGGCAAAGCTTAACTGAATAGAAAGATCCTTCAAAACTGTCGAAATCGTTGTTGATTCTTTCAACACTCTTCCCAAAAGAATGATTTCGTTCGAGGACTTTCGGCGTTCTTGTATCTAACGAAGAAAATCAGAAAGATGTGATTATAGCGCTAAAAAAGTCGTAGTCTAATTTTACTATCCGTGTATTCAAGCATTCCTGAGGCAAATAAGGAAAGCCGCATCTAATAAACGCAATATTCAACTATCTGTTCAATTACTACGAAGCACTGCAAGCATCCTGGCCAAAACACGATTATTCCGGTTACTCTAAACGAGACCACTAGACTCATTTTTCTGCATTGGTAGGGGTCCCATCAGAGAAGATAAGGGTTTTTTGAACGAATAACAGGCATGCAAAATAAAAAAAACAACTGTAAAAATGTCAGGGTACTCAAATCCAAGGCACACATGACCCTTGAAGCAAACTTCAGCTAACAGTAAGTGAAAAGTTTGGCAGATCTACTAGTTTCTGGACGAACCTGTAATCCCTAAAATCTTGATCATCAACAGCGTGAGAATGAACAATGTACAGTGACGTTTGTTTTTGACCGAAACAAACTCCATTTCTGTCACCTTCAGGGAGCAGAATCATCGTATTTCTCATGACATGATCGTTTGAGGACCAGGTCATTTTAGCCAGCTTACCAGCTGCCTGATTGATCGCTCATCGAGTGACTGGGTCCACAATACTTGTAAATATTCGAAGCGTTATCTAGGGAAACTAAATCAACCAACATAAACAGTGTGCTCTGTGATGAAGCTCATAATGTGTTTTATCAGACATAGCATAACGTGGAAAGTTCATCCACCAAGGTCTTTAAGCAGTATCATGAATGTTCACCGGGGGTTTATCCTGGCTCATCACAACCGAACTGAAAGTAGTTGCAACGCCAACTGGAATTTTCATTCCTTGATCACTAGCAGGGCTCAGCGAAAAGCCCACAATTGAGCGAGATTCGTTGAGCTACGACGCATGACAGTCAAACAAACCTCCGGATATGGTACAGAGGAGAATGTTGGAAGCTCAGACAGTATAGATGCTCGTTGGTTTGTTCGCTGAGGTGGGCAATTTGATTACAAGCGTTTCGTCACCAGGATAGGCGACATCATCAGTGCGTTGTGGGCCGTAGCGTGTGGGGTCGTGAACAACCCCCAAGTAACCCGTCAAAAGTATTTTTCTTCTGAGAATGGTTTTGCGTAGGAAAATCAATGTATATCTAAGTAAAAGCATCCCAAACGATTGGAAGACATTTATTCCTCATGACTGACCACAACGCTACCTAGTACAACACTATTCTATGATATCATTGACTTATTAGGTGTATTATAGTCAAATGCAAAGTGCTGAGACCGCATGAGATTATGGAAAATTACATGAAACAAAAGTAACATCTTAACACAAACTAACACAATCTTTCCTAAAGGTGATGGAAAATACCGCACGGCTATTTCACATAGTGTGTGCACATGGACGTTAACGTAGTTGCAGTGGTGTGGAGCACTCCTTACCCCGCAATTCACGAGCCATTCCAAATTGTGAATCACTGAACGAAGATGGGAGTGATTATCAAGTCTCCACTGAAAGCTGGGGACATCTGAGTGAAAATTCCGGTGGCCGTAAGCAAGTTGAATTAGGATCATGATTTTTCACGACGTTATTTCCTGTCAAAGTCAGGCGTATGGAATGACAGTCGTGGATGTTCAGCTGTGGACGCATAGTATACTTAAGGTACGCCGTGGGAGACGACAGGAGAGTTCAGCCTAATGTGGCGTTTTCCGGTGGACACCGACCGACGCTGAAGAGAAGTCACTGCCAGATCACACACGTATAGCAGGAGGGAATTTTGTCCGTTTTCGTCCATACGACGGTGGTATTACGAAAGCACCATGAGAAGCATCGCATTTTTAGCTGTCTAGTAGCGTCATGAGACAAGGATGCCGGTGTTATTCCGAGGCACTGTTGAGCTCTCGCTTACGGTTAACAGATCTAACAGAAGGCACGCAGACATGACCAAAATTGCTTCTATCTCAGATGCACTCATTGGACGGTTAACATTATATCGCCGCTACGTGAACGACATTTTCGTTCTTGCTGATGAAACCATCAGCACAACAGACGTACTAAGCAGTTCCAATTCAGTCCATGCTAACATCAAGGTTACTATCGAATCAGAACAAAACAGACAGTTAAGCTTCCTCAATGTCAATGTTAAAAAGAAGACCGACGGGACCGTAGAACGCACGGTCCATAGAAAGAAAACGTGGAAAGGTCAGTATATTCACTGTGATAGCTTCGTTCCGTTGCAACAAAAACGAAACCTAATTAGATGCCTGACCGGGAGAGCAATGAAGATATGCTCACCCGAATGCTTAGAAGAGGAACTAAAGTTCTTGGGACGCACATTCCTGCAGAACGGATATCCTGAAAGGTTCGTACTCAAGACTATGGAAGCCGTTAAACCCAAACCTACGGAATGTTCTGTTAGGAAGAAGCCCGTATACATGAGGCTTCCATTCAAAGGTGACTCGGTTGCTGAACTAATCACCAGAAGGCGTATAAACTCCGTGGATACGACATACTTGGCCGCTAATCTATGTTTGAGCTTCAACTCCAGCCCCGCTACCAGATTCTGCTTGAAAGACAAACAGCCGCGTTCTACCACCAGCTTTTGTGCGTGCTCCTTCGTATGCTCGTGCCGAGCATCATACGTTGGTCGTACGACAAGGCATTTGTCGGACAAAATACGAGGACACAATCCCGTATCTCTGAGTGGTAGTGAAAAGAAACCAGGCTCAAGCGCGATTGCAGCACACTTGGCCGAAACCTGTCATGTCATAGACAAGGAGCAATCCTTCACCATCATATACCGGGTACCTATGAACGGATCACGACTGGGACGATCCAGACTACTATCGATCGCACAGGCGATAGAAATCCGACTGCTGGATCCACAACTTTGCATCCAAAAGAAACTTATGCGACCTCTGAACTTGAACTGGCCCACAAAACATCTGGTCCCACAAGTCTATCTGACATTGACGTCACTTACTTGACTCCGTGACCCATTGACCTACTCCTCACCCAACCCCCCTTCCTTTGACTTCTTTTTTTATCATTTATTTTTGAAGAG